TTGGCCTCCTGGAGCTTCTCTTCCATGACCAGCTCCTGCCTGGCGAGCTGCTGCTTGAGATTACCCGCTGCAGCTGTCGCTTGGGCGCTCTCATGCTGGGCCCGTCGCAGTGACTCTTGTGCCTCGGCTCTTGCCCTCATCAGGTCTTGGTAGGCGCCGTCCTGGGGTTGCGGCTTCTCCCGGTGCTCCGCTCGTACTTGCTCGAGCTGCTCATGCAGGTGATTTGCCCGGTGTGTCGCGGCTTCCGCCTCTGCCTTGGCATGAGTGAAGGCTGTGTCATGGCTGATTATTCTGGCCTCCATCTGCGTCGCGAACTCGAGCTGCTCGTATTGTTGCCTCTTGATCTCATGTCGGAGGGCCTTGTGTTGCTGCTGTTGCTGCTGCTGGGCTGCGCTCTCCGCTGCGGTGATGCGCTGCAGCTGCTCTGACTCCTCCTTGAGTGCCAGCCTCAGTTTCGCCTGCTCGCCATTGTGGCGGAGTGCTTGTTCGCGAGCAACCCTCCTTACTTCCGCCAGTTCGGCAGCGAACTCTTGCTCGGCTTCGGCATGGCGCTGCTGCTGGTGGGCCCGCTCCGCATTTGCCTTGGCCACCTGATCTGCGAAGCCTCTGGTTGCGCTGCCTGCCGAGCTGGCTCTTGATCGTGGCGATTGCCCCACCACTCCTGATGGCCAAGCTGGGAGTCCGTCACCAGGTGCTTCGCTGTTCAGGCGCCTGTCAATCACAGCCTTGTGGAAAGCATCCCAGCTCGGTGCCAAGCCGAACCCGTCCGTGTCCCAGTCGCCCTCGTCGTCCGCCGCGCCGCCGTCGGCGAGCACAGCCCTCACGTCGGCGATGTTGGACTCGAGCTGCCTCAACTCCTGCTGCTTGGCCTTGAGGTCGTCCCGCAGCTCGTTCGACTTGGCTTCTAGGGCGATGACTTCGAGTTTGACGGCCTTGCGCCTCTTGCTGAGCACCTGCAGCTGGTCGTTCGGCCTTCTCGTGACCAGCTTCTGATACTTGATGACCGCGATCTCCCGTAACTGCTCTTCAGTGCTGTCCCCCGCGGCCTGCTTGGCAATGATCAGGTCGCCCAGCTTCCTCAGCCTCTGATCGGCGGTGCTCAGGAACTTCTGGATGCCTGCGCGGTCGGCCGGAGGCGCCTGCCACTTTGGGTGGGTGGTGGCCTGGTCCAGCGTGCATGCCGCCACTGAGTCGATGACCTTTTGAGCACGCTGGTCCGCTTTGCTGGAGCTGGCCTGGCCACCCTTGCCCGCCCTGGGCTGCTGCTGCTGCTGCTGCCAGGGATGCTGACTGGGCTGCTGGTGCTGCTGCTGTGGCCATTGGCGAGGGCTGGCCTGGCCAGAGCGTCGTGGCCGCGACGGCTCCCTGCGCCAGGGCGGTTCCTCAGCAGCTGGCTCGGCGTGCCAGTGCTGTTCTCGCCAGCCATCGCCGTGCCACCTCTCCTGACGCCATGGGGGCGCTGCTGGCGGTGCTTCTTCCTCTTGGGCCTGGCCTTTGCCGCTACTGCCACCACCGCCTCTGCCCTTACCATCACGAGCCATCGCTGGCTGGGCGGAGTGGTGGGCGGCCAGGCGCTCGGCCGCTGCCCGCAGGCGGAGCAGGAGCCTGTCCTGGGCTCTCTGCTGCCGCTCGCGGCGGTGGGCAGCGCCCTCTGGAGCTCCTCCTCGATGATGACGCGGCGTCCCGCCGCTTGGCCGCAGCGCGGCCGCGAGCGCCGCGGCCTGCGGCAGGGGACAGGGAGGCACGGGTGGCCCCCTGCCGCAGGGTATGGCGCGCGGCGCGCGTGAGCCCGGCCTCGGGGGCTGGCCGATGCGCGATGCGCCCTGCCACCGCGATCGATCGGGCGGCAGGCGCCGACCGACCCCGATGGATCGATCGGGATCGGCTGGCCCCAAGAGGCCAAATGGCTTTTCTCCTTCTCCTCCTCGTCCTCCTTTTCTCCCTTTTGGGGGGCGGCGCGAGAGCGCGAAGTTATTCGCGCTTCGCGCAGCGCGAAGCGCGAAGTTGGGAGCCCTTGCCCTGGTCAAGCCCATGCTGGGTGCATGTGCCTCCCTGGCCAGGCCAAGGTCAAGCAGTGGCGAAGCGTCCTGGCGTGACTATAGGGCGACCAGCCAGTGTTCTAAGAGCCTTGTGGTTTCCACGAAACGCTCTTAGACCATTTCCGGCCGGGACCGTCTTGCTTTAACACATCGGTCTTATGTTATAAGAACATGGTCTTTGTTATTCGAACATTTCTGGATTCTAAGAACATGTCGTGGTAGGCCTATGGGAATGCAGGGATGGTCGGTCTCTGCTCGACATGGGAGGCGTATACACATCACATTGGCCCAGGATCCGAATGATCCCTGGCGTCGCAGTTGTTATTGCACATCTCGGGGAAGAGTATAGACTCGAGTACGATGGAGCTCGCGTTTGCCGGCGCTTTTTGACGAGCGCGTTTTAGATTTCCACGGTCCAGTTTTCGTGGGATGTTTGCAGCGGGAGTTCGCGTCAGATTTCAGAGTGGCTCGCGTCATGTTCGTCATGACCCAGTCGGGCCAACCCGAAGCTCCCTAACCCGAGTCTTACTTACGTCTCCCCGAACATCGGGCGAGTTCGCCCTATACGGGCGCCAGGGCCCTCGCAGATCCGGCTCGAAACGGTCCTTAAAAAGATGGGGTCTGGGGCTGTGGCCGTGATGTTCTTCGATGCGAATGTTTTCTCGTGATGCGAATGTTGCCTCGTGACGTCGGATCTCAGGGTATACACCGCTCCTAAGCTCAGGCATGGCATGGCATGGCATGGCATGGCTGGGCATGCGTATCGGCTTCGTCGCCCTGCCGTGAGGGGAATGGATGCCGTGGGGAGGGTGCCTCGGTGCGCGGATGGGGACACAGGGTCGATGCTCGAGGTTCGGGGACGCCCTCCCTCTTCCGGGACCTCCTGGGGCGCCCTCGTCGCGACGGCGGGACTCCCCGTGAAGCACAAGCCAGAGCACTTCCGTGGACAATTTTGGGGGGGGAGGGCGAATGTTATCGCCGGCCTAGAAGTTGACACCAACACCAAAATCGGCGGTGTGCATCCACCGAGGGACGAAGATCCTGATCTCGGTGATGGTGGTAATATTCTGGCTTCCAAGGTGACCGAAATATTACCACCAACACCGAAATCTGGGGGATCATCTTCCCCCTGTGGAGGCAATCCCCTGTGTTGGTGTTGGTGCCCATTTCTAGGCCTCCAAAGGTAGGAAGACTTCGGGCTGCGCACGGACCTCCCCCAGGCAGCCCCAGCTGGCCTCAACGAGCCCCCCGAGTGGCCCCAGCTGGTCGCAACAGGCCCACCGAGTGGTCCGGGGCGGTCTCAACTCCCTTCTCGGGGCCCATGACCCTCGCAGATCGATCGGGCTCGAAAAATGCAGCAGAAATATTCGGTTGAGGCTCAGGTCGTGATTCTCTACGATGATTATGTTCTACCGTGACGTCGGATCTCAGGGTGCACGCCCCTCTGGAGCTCAGGATGGGCCTGGCAAGGGGCAGTGGATGAGTACAGACCTCGTGTCGTGAACCCTTGCCCTGCTTTCTGCATTGTCAACCGCTTGTTGGTTGGCCCCCATCGTCACACGCTCGCGGTAATTAGTCTGCTTAGCACATCCCGTTGATGTCTTCGATGCATTGGACCAGCCCGCCGCGAAGTAAAACGAGTACAGGCTATAGACCTCGTCGCCTTGCCGTACGAGGCCGTGGGGGGGAATGGTTGGCGTGGGGAGGGTGCCTCGGTGCGCATAGGGGGGGCCGTGGGTCGATGCTCGAGGTCCAGTGACGTCTGTCCTCTTCTGGGACCTCCTGGGGCGCCCTCGGCACGACGGTCCGAGCCGGCACACGCCCGTGGACAGGTCTCTGGGGGCGTGGTTTCGCCCCGAGTTGCTGGCCGCGCCGGCGCACTCGGCGTGGAGTTCCTCCGCGTCCGAGTGCCCTCCGCCTTCTCACGTCCTTCGCGGCCGCCCTCTCTGTCCAGTGCCCCCTTTGGCACGCTGGCCAACTCGCGTGTCGGTCGCCTCGATCGCCGCCCGTTGGAGCAACTCTTGCCCATCGGTCGTTGAAAGTAGGTATTTTTGGATTCCCAGATTCCAATCTACTCTCAGCGCCTTCCTACTTCAAGAGTCGAGTGGGTTTCCCTCTTCCCTCCTCTTCAGGAGGCGGGCGGAAACCCAATCTATTTCCGACGCCTTCCTACTTCATGTTTCTACATACTTCTTCCGACCGATGGGTATGCCTCGCCGCGGAGGCAGAACAAGTTTTCGCCCCGAGCTCGGATGGCAGGGCTTCGGCAGCACCCTGGCGCCGCCTCCGGCGGCTTTGGGTGCTGAGGCCGCCCCGGACTGCTCGGCCTGTTGGAGGCCAGCCGGGTTGTCCTCGGGGGGCTCGCTGGGGCCAGCTGGGGGCCAGCTGGGACCACTTGTGGGGGCTGTCTGTGCGCAGCCCGAAGCCTCGCAAAGGTCAGGCCTCCCCGGCGTCTCGAGGGGACAAAGGCGTCCGAGGATCTGTCGCAGAGTTCGGGGGGCGCTTCCGGGCCCGAGGGCCGACAAACGGCGACAAAGACGAGGGCGACGACGACGACAACGACGACGACGACGACGACGACGAAAACGACGACGACGACGACGACGACGGCGGCGGCGGCGGTGTTGATGACGACGACGACGGCGACGGCGACGAGGGCGACGAACGACAGCGACGGCGACGACTATGACGACGTCGATGGCGGCGGTTGCGACGACGGCGGCGGCGGCGACGACGACGACGGCGGTGGCAAAGAAAGGGTGAAGAGTTCTGGGGGCTGGCGACTCGAAAAGATCGGGTGGTGAGTGGTCTGGGGACGGGGTGGTATGGAGAGGGGTCCTATCGAACCACGTGGGGTACCGTTTCGCCTGTGTGTCTGCACTCTTTCCTTTCTCTGGAGCGTATGTTCGCGTATTCTTCAGCCCTCATGGCGCTCATGCTCGTAGGGTGGCCGCCCTTGAGGAGGCTCTCGAGGAGGTCAGGGGCTTGGTCAGCGAGAAGTTCGGCCTCGACGCCGTGGAGGAGAGAGTGTCCGACGTCGAGGCGGCCGCGTCCGAGGCTAGCAGCAGCGAGGAGGAGCCGCTCGAAACCTCCGGCCAGCTCCTCCTCGCATCTGGGCGTCGCGGGGTGGCAAGGCTCATTTGGGCTCTTTCGATTTGATTCGATTCGATTTCGATGGATTTGATTCCGATCCGATTTGATGTGGGATTCCGATTTTGGATCCCAATTTCTCAACGGAGGCCTTACAAGCCTGCCGATTTCCGCCAATTCGGCCTCCCCCGACTTGGCTGTCGATTTCCGCCGATCCATTCATTTCGATCGCCGATCCTTCTTATCGGTTCGATTCTGGGCTCTCCTGGATTGGGGGTTGAGTGGGGGCACGACGGTTTTTGGGGGCCCCGCTTCGCCTCATTGGGACGGGACGGTCGCACCAGCAACGATGAGATTTATCGTTCTTGCCGTGATTTGTTCACGACGCCACACTATTTGTGCACAGCGTCGGCAACACAGTGCAAACATGCAGCCAGAAACGTTTCCCCAAAGAGCCGATGTACAAATCCTGGCCTTGCCAGCAGCGGTGCCGAGTGATACATGGCGTCTTCATTTTTCAAATCCTCAGACCCTCCTCCCGCCTCCCTCCTCCCCCCAGTTCTCACTCGTCCTCCCTCATCTCCTCGCTCCTCCCCTCCCTCCCTCTCTCAGCTCCTTCTTCCACGCAGCGAGAAGGAAGAGCTGCTCGAACCGAGGAACTCGATCGCACCATTGATTCTCCTCTCCCTCCTGTCTCTCCTCCATCTCCTCCAACCGTGAGTGGAAGAATGTGCAGCACTGGCAGATTATGGTATCGTGCTGCGGCGCAATTCGCCTCCAAGAGGCCACTTTCCGCCGACACCCAGCACAGAAATAAGAGCATGACTGCGAGGAGGAGGAGGAGGAGGAGAAGGAGGAGGGGGAGGAGGCGGATGAGGACGACTACGATATGGAATTCAGAAGGCAGGGTATTTGTTTGAGGGTTGTTCGGGGTTGCAGTGCATTGTGGATTAAATTGTATGTTAGCCAGCGAGGATCCCAAACAGTGTGTTTCTTCGGTCCAATATATGGTGTGCAATCTATATTGTGCAATATATGTCGTGCAATCTGTGGTGAGCCGTTTTCGCGGTGCAGAATATGCTGTGCAATCAATGTTGTCCAATACAGGTGGTAAATCCCATGTGTTGCAATGTAGGTGATGCCATCTGCGTGTAGCAGTCTATGGTGTGGTTCGATCGATGGTGTGCAATCTATGTTGTGGAACCTATGTTGTGCAACCTATGCTGTGGAATATATTGTGTTCAATATCGGTCGTGCGTTATCAATTGTGCATCCATGTGGTGCAATTTATGTGATGCAATCTATGTTGTGCAGTCTACGTGGTGCAATACAAGTTGTGCAATACACGTTGTGCAATATATGTGGCGCCACCTGCGTGGTGCAATATACGTGCTTCAATATATGTGGTGCAATATATGGTTTGTCATTTAGGTGGTGCAATATATTTGGTGCAATATCTGTGGTGCTATCCGGGTGGAGCAATCTGCGTGTGGTAAGTTATGCCGTGTCATGTATGATGTGCCAGATATGTTGTGCAACATGTGTTGTGCGCTCTTTGTTGCACGATCTATGATGTGCAATATGTGTTCTGCAATCTGCGTAGTGCAGTATACTTGGGGCAATATATGCTGTGCAACCTACGCGGTGCAATGTATGTTGTGCATTCCAAGTTCAGGCACCGATGTGAAGCAACCTACGTGGCGGCGACACGGCGGCGACGAGGCGGCGACGGGGCGGCGACGGCGGCCACATGGCCGACAGAGCGGCAGACAGGCCCGGACGGCGGGCGGCGACGAGGCGGCAACGGCGGCCTCATAGCCGGCAGAGCGGCAGACTGGCCCAGTTCCTTAGAAGAGAGGGGAGAAACCCGGAGTGCAAGCACTGCTTGGGGAGCTTTATCGCGAGGGCCTTGCGGCCGGTGCCGCCGGCCCTACGACGACGCTATCTCTCTGGAGCCGAAACTTTCTCCCAGGGAGGGGTGCCCCCCCCCCCCCCCCAACGGGGGGACCCCCTAGGTGACGCCCCCACCCCCCCTCCACCCCATCAAGCGGCGGAGGGATCAAAGGGAAGGGACTTTCTCTCGAGTCGATTACTGCGACGTTTCGATCTATTTGTTTGTCGTCGTTCACCTTTGCCATTCTCCAGGATGCTTGAGCACGGTGCCCGGTAGGACGATCTGTTGCCGGCGGTCGAGCCGCCGGTGCGGGTTGCCCGTTCGGCGAGCCAATCTGTTGCCTCGCGCCACGATCCCGCCTGAGGTCGATGCTGCCCTGGATTGTGTGATCTTTCATGGGAGCCTCGTAGGGTCCCACGATTCCTTGAGGTTTTGGGGATAGTTCGTTCAGATTTCGTTGGATCTGATCGACAGCTGGAGGAAATCGGGACGACATCTAGGCGAAAGGATGAAGAGTCGACAGCTGGATGAAATCTGGTCAAAATCACGATTATGATAAGTCCGCGGAGGTCCACAGAGGCTCCCATGAAGGCTCACCCAACCTGGAGCGGTTCCCTTCTCCAAAGTTCGCCGTCGTTGCCGACGACGTCCAGATGACGGTCGCCGGCGAGCCTGGGGGGGGGAAGAGAGAGGGGGCATGCCTTCTCAGAAGGCGGCGCGGCTTCTCAGAAGCCCCCGCGCATTCTGAGAATTGTCGCAAGCCTCCTACGAGGCAACAGACGGTTCTCCAGAAGGCCAGAAGGTTTCTGAGAAGCCGTGCAGCCTTCAGAGAAGGCCTGCCCCCTCTCACTTCCACCCTGAGCTCGCCGCCGAGACGGGACTTGAGATTGATCGGTTTTGTCTCCGTATTGCCCTCCAGGTTGCACAAGGCATCACGTGGAGATCACACCTTTCGGCGAGGCTCCTGCTGTGCTCGTCCCCCAAAGACGTTGTCTCTGCTGACACCCGATGTTTCCCTTGCAAGGTCCATCGCGCCCCAGGCTCCCAGGCGATCTGGGGTTGTGAAACTGATTGCGCGCAGCTTGGGAACGGATGTCCAGTTGAAGAAGCATGGTAGGCTGCTCAGGCGGGTTCAGAGCCAAATGGTCAAGGCTTTCCAGGGTCGTGCCCGACGCGTGCTGATGCTCCCGTAGTTAGCTGGGATAAACAATACAGTTTCGAATTTCGCAGTGACGTAGGGCATGAAGCTTGGGCCGCAGCACTGGCCACACGGCAAACATCAAAGGTCTGTATCGAATGGGTTCGGGTACGTTCTTCCAGGCACCGTCACACATGTTTCTGGCCGGGTCGAGGCTTCGAAGTACACGCACATGCCGCCGTGGTGCCCACGTGGACGAGAGCACAATGGGATATAATTTTGGCGCGAGATGTCCTTGGCACCGCGTTCCTCATGCATGCAATGCAGAATGTCGTTGTTTGAACCCCTTGAGGGTCTTCTGCAGGGCCCTGCCCAAATTACCCATGTTACTTTATTGCGGTGCGGAGATGTCCGAGGTGCCTGCAGACCATGAGCAAGACGCAGGGAGGACATCTTGCAAGATGGTGGCCGAGTAGTTGCCGTGACCACCCGACCGCCGCCGTCTCCGAAACCAAGAAGATGAGACATGTATGCTCCAAGACGGGGACAAGAAACCTTGCACCGAAGGGAAAGCTGAGCCCAATGAAACAAAACACCTGATCTGCTGGTCCAGCAACGCGGATTGCCATTTCTGTTGGGAGAGCGGTGCCACAGCAAAGCTACACCTGAGCAAGGAGGTGGTGCGCGAGTGCGGCGGATGGCCAGAACGGCAAGGGAGCAAGTACGCATTGAACGCGCCATCAGAGAAGATGGAGTTCGCCCCTGGGGGGCTGCAGCGCAGGGCTCGTGTTCGGCGACGACGTGGTGCTGCAGCTGCTGTGGCTCAGTTCCCCAGGGCGGTCTGAGCCGTCTGTTCGCCAGCTGCGCTACGCCGCCGCGCGCGAGCAGACATCGGCACGTCGACTGACGAGTCCCAACATTCTGGCCAATGGCGTCATGGTCTCTCCGAACACCGACTCGCCGAAAGACATACTTGAGCTCCTCGAGCGCGATACTCTGAAGTGGGTCTGGGCTCAAGCTCCGGCTCGCCAACACATTTTCTGGGCACCTTGTATCGCCAACGTTTTTGCTGCTTGTCCGGGCTCGCTTGAGACGTAATTATGGCGGATGGGGCGCCATGGAACAGAGCGCCGTACGTTTCGTAATGCCTTGAGTTGTGTCTGTTCCGCCCAATTGTAGGTTGCGCGGTCTCGTATCGACGTAGGTTGCGCATCATTTGTTCTATGCGTGTCTTGCTTCGTTTGAGTGCCAGCTCACGTGCGGCCTCACTGCACACCACAGGCATGCCACGAAACAGTTCCCACATGTCCCCGTTTGGGCCACTGGTCTCATCCCTGACCCTCGTTCCCTCCTCCGTACCCCATGCCCCATTATTTAACGATTATCTGATGTGGGATGTCGTGCCCCATGATGGCCAGTTTCCACACCCGGCCGACTATGACGACGAGTCTGATTTCTATAGGCCGAGTCGACGCGGCCACATATTGGATGGATGGACCGTCCACTGTAATATGTGGAAGACAGGCTGCAGGGCTGCTGGCGACATCGCGGCTGACCGCGTGAGCATCATCAAGGTAAAAGCGCACACGTTCCCTGAGACTGCTGGCCCCCCTTGGGTGGGTGGTAAACTTGCCGACGCCCGTGCGCAAAGTGGGCCAGCCTTGCACGAGTTTGCCAGACAGGTTGGCAAGGTCCGATGTTCGTACAATGCCGTTTTTAATGCATGCTCCGCGTGCGGATCATGTATTAAAAATGCAGGGATTTCGGATTAAAACAAGGATGAGTTCATGCATAAATGTATTCATACATTGATCATGTCAAAATTGCTACGTGTTTAAAAATCCTATGTATTCAAAACTGCCCTGTATCACGTTCGTCCTCACATCTGTTCTGCCGCCCCCCCGCTCTCCTTGCGTGGCGCAGGCATGATGTGATGTCATACCTTCTGGACTCCCGGGGCCCACGTGGTACGGATGTTCCGTCTGCGGGGCAGCGCCCCGGGTACGTTGTCCCTCGCTTTCGTTCCGTGTACCCATGTCCCAGGGGGTTGGCTATCGGTCGAGGCGTCGTGGGCCCGTTGTGTTTCGTAATGGGTGCGGATCCCCTTCCGCGCGCCAAGCGGTAACGTTTGCGGGCCCGTCTCACCCGCAACCACCAGCAACGGTGTATAGGTTCAGGTGGATGAGCGAGGGCAAGGGTTAGTCTTAGCCGTGACTTTGAACTCTTCAATCGTGAAGAAAGTCAAGTTAGTGTAGTGTCATAGCTCAGTGTTGGAGACACGGGACACCTGGGCGTGACATTACGTTGTGACACTACGTTACGGTTAGCGTAGTGTCACAGCGCAGTGTTGGGGACACCTGGGCATGATACGCTGTGGCAGCACGCTACGGTTAGCGTAGTGTCATAGCGTCGTGTTGGGGACACTTGGGCGTGACACTACGCTATGACTGTACGCTACGATTTGCGTAGTGTCATAGCGTAGTGTTGGGGACACCTGGGCGTGTCACTACGCTATGACAGTGCGCTGCGGTTAGCGTACTGTCATGGCGTAGTGTTGGGGGCACCTGGGCGCGACACTACGCTATGACATTGCGCTACGGTTGAGGCAGGGGAGAAGGAATCGTTTTTTTTGCTCGTTTGTTTTTCTTTGGGTTTTGCTTGACTCTGCTCCATGAGAGAGGACACTGCGCTACCGTTAGCGTAGTGCCATAGCGTAGTGTTGGGGGCATTGGGGCGCGTGACACTACGATGTGACATTACGCTTTGGAGTAGGCGGGGGAGAAGGAATTGTTTTGTTCGTTTGTTTTTCTTTGGGGTTGTGCTGGACTCTGCTCCGTGAGAGGGGACACTACGATCCGTTAGCGTCGTGTCATCGCGTATTGTTGGGGGCACTGGGGCGTGACACTACGCTATGACACTACGTTACGGTTGAGGCGGGGGAGAAGGAATCGTTTGTGTGTCTCCTTTCTTTTTCATTGGGGTGTTGCTTTACTCTGTTCCGTGAGCGAGAGAGTGTTGGGGACACTTGGGCGTGACACAATGCTATGGTACTACGCTACGGTTCAGCGGGGCGGGAAGCCATAGCTTTTTTGTTCGTTTTTTGGGGGGGTGTTGCTGGACTCTGCTCCCTGAGAGAGGACACTACGCTACTGTTAGCGTTGTGTCATAGCGTAGTGTTGGGGACACCTGGGCGTGACACTACGCTGTGACACTACGCTACGGTTGAGCGGGAAGAGTTTTAATTTACTTTGGTCCGTGAGAGGGGACACTACACTACCGTTAGCGTGGTGTCATAGCGTAGTGTTGGGGACATTTGGGCGTGACACTACGCTATAACACTACGCTACGGTTCAGCGGGGCGGGAAACCATAGCTTTTTTGTTCGTTCGTTCTTTTTTTGTGGTTTTGCTGAATTTTGCTCCGTGAGAGGGGACACTACGCTACTGTTAGCGTAGTGTCATAGCGTAGTGTTGGGGACACCTGGGCGTGACACTACGCTGTGACACTACGCTACGGTTGAGCGGGGTGGAGAATAACTAGCTCTTTTGTTTGTTTGTTTTTCCTTCGGGTTTTAATTGGCTCTGCTCCGTGGGAGAGGACACTACGCTACCGTTAGCGTAGTGTCACAGCGTAGTGTTGGGGACACCTGGGCGTGACACTACGCTATGACACTACGCTACGGTTGAGCGGGGGGGAGAAGAAATGACTTTGTTCGTTTGTTTGTCCTTGGGGTTCTGCTTGACTCCTGCTCCGTGAGAGAGGACACTACGCTACCGTTAGCGTAGCGTCATAGCGTAGTGTTGGGGACGCTTGGGCGTGACACTACGCTATGACACTACGCTATGACACTACGCTACGGTTGAGCGGGGGGATAAGGAATCCTTCTGTTCTTTTGAGGTTCTATCGGGCTTTGCTTGCCTCTGCTCCGTGAGACAGGACTCTACGATACCGGTAGCGTGGTGTCATAGCGTAGTTTTCGAGGTTTTTGGGCGTGGCACTACGCCATGGCACTACGCAACGGTTGAGGCGCAGGGTACAGGAAGAGTTTCTTTGTTGTTTGGTTTTGCTTTTCCTTAGGGTTCTACCTCGCTGGACTTTGCTCCGTGACATATGTGTTTGCGCTGCGGTTGGCGTAGTGTCACAGCGTAGTGTTGGAGACGTTTGGGTGTGACACTACGCTATGACACTACGCTACGATTAGCGTAGTGTCATAGCGTAGTGTTGGGGACATTTGGGCGTGACACTACGCTATGACTGTACGCTACGGTTAGCGTGTCATAGCGTAGTGTTGGGAACACATGGGCGTGACATTACGCTATGACACTACGCTACGGTTAGCGTAGTGTCATAGCGTAGTGTCGCGGGCACCTGGGCGTGATTCTACGCTATGAGACTACGCTACGGTTAGCGTGAAGTTCGCGCAGTGTCATAACGTAGTGTTTTTTTACGGTTGAGATCTGCTCTCAGCGAGGGCCGTCATCTTGCGATGTAGGATATGTTTGTTGGATTTGGATTTGGACATGGATTTGGACATGTTGTTTGGACATTGGACATGTTTGTTGACATCACACGGGCGCGTTTGTTTTGATTGTTGCATCGGCCACATGTTTGGGACACGTATAGCCACAGTTCGTTGAGGCATGCAAGCGTCAATCCCAACAGGGGTAATTTTGCAGGTGGCGTACTCCACCCTTTGATGTGTTTCTGCCTTCGTTGCATTTGACGGCGTTTGTTCACGGTCGGGATGCACCCTTGGTAGTTTTGAAAAACATGTATTAAGTTTGATTCGCATCCAACGGGCTTCCTCGGATGATACATGGGATGGTCGCATGGGATTGTCGCAGCCTTGCCACTTTTCCTTCTCCTTCTCCTTCTCCTCGGTCGTGCCATCGCGACGCACGAATTTTATCTGCTGAACGTATTTCAGTGCAGTGCTGGTGTGGCGCTTGCGCTGGAAAATAAAGCGTCATGCCGTCCTCAGCATTCTTTGTCCACCCTCCCCCCTTTTCTCCTTCTTTCGGCCCCACCCACTCTGGCCCCTGAGGCTTGCGAAGGCGCAATATGGGGCGGGGCCAGGACCGGGATAAATCGTTCCAGAGCGTTCCCGATCGCTGTCAGAGCGTCCCGGATCGCTCTGTATGTAATGTCCGCGACGCCCCACACATCCTCAAGGCTCCAGGTTGCGCGCAGATGCCTCCCCCAGTTGGCCCCAGCTGGCTTCAACAACAGGCCCCCCGAATAGTCCAGGGCGGTCTCAGCACCCCAGAGGCGGCGCTGAGGTGTCAAACACCCCCCTAGGTTGTTCGGGAGGCCTGTTGGGGCCAGCCGAACCTACCTGGAGGGGTGAGCTTTCTGCGCGCAGCCCGAAGCACTTCCATGATCCTTCACCCCGATCCTCTTGCTTCTCGTTCTGGTCCGCCCCCTCGAGGAGGATGAGGAGGAGGAGCTGCTCGACACCTTCGACCTCGCGGGCGTGGCGCGCTACATCCAGGAGTGTGGTGTGAGCCGCATCGTCGTCTGCTGCGGCGCTGGCATATCCACCAGCGCGGGGATTCCGGACGCCAGGGTGTGGAGAAGGAGGAGGAGGAGGAGGAGGAGGAGGAGGAGGAGGAAGACGAGGAGGAGGAGGAGGAGGAGGAGGAGGAGGAGGAGGAGGAGGAGGGGGACGACGACGACGACGACGACGACGACGACGACGACGACGACGACGACGACGACGACGACGACGACAACGATGGCAGGGGAAGGGAGGTGGAGGAGGGGGAGGAGGCGGGAGGAGGAGAGGCAGGAGGAGGAATCGCCCCACACCTCCTGTGCTCTTGTCCCTTCCTCCCTCTCTCATTGCCCCCACACTCCCCTCTGCATCCCCCGTCCCCGTTCCCTCCTTTTCCTCCTCCTCCTCCTCGTCCTCCTCCTCCTCCTCGTCCTCCTCCCCCTCCCTCCTCTCCTCTGCTGCTCCCCCCCCCTCCTTCGCTCCTCTGGCCCGATGGGTGGCCAGGACTTCCGGTCCCCCGGCACCGGGCTGTACGACAACCTGCAGCGCTTCGACCTGCCAGAGGCCGGGCCAGGGGAGCGGAGGCGGGAGGGAGGAAGGAGGTCGGAGGAGAAAGAGGAGGAGTAAGACGGAGGAGTAGGAAAGGATGGAAGTGAGAGAGGAAGGGAGGGAGGAGGAGGGCGAAGGAGGAGGGATGGAGGGTAGGAGAGGGGGGGAGGAGGAGGAGGAATAGGACGAAAGAGGAGGAGGAAGGAGGAGGAGGAGGAGGAGAAGGAGAAGGAGAACGAGGCGAAAGAGGAGGAGGAGGGCGGAGGCGGAGGAGGAGGGAGGTGTAGAAGGAAAAGGCGAAAGAACAGGAGGAGGAGGAGCAGGGGGATGGGGAGGATCTGGGCGAAGAGGTGTGGAGAAAGGTAGGAGGACAGAAGACGGAGGTGGGAGGGGGGTGGGAAGGAGTTGGGAGGAGGGAGGAGGAGGGGGAGGATGGATTTGGGGATTGAGGAGGACGGAGGAAGTACAGCGCTGCAGGGAGAAGGAGAAGGGGGATGGGGAGGAAGGAGGAGGATGACGGAGTTCTGATGTTTTTGGAGGTTCCTGGTCGGCTTTCGACTGATTTCGAGAGGTCGGGGAGGCTTTCTCGTGAGGAATGAGGAGGGGAGGTTTTCTAATGTTTTGATTTTTGCGAGAGGTTTACAGTTTCGGGGTTTGCGTTTGTTTCCGGGCATGGGGGGATGGGGGGAGCACTGAGAAGAGGAGGTAGAAGTGGGAGGAAGAAGGGCGTGGGCGGAGGGCGAGGGCAGAGAAGATGAGGGAAGGGGTGAGGGAGAGGGAACGAGGAGGGGGAGGACACGCGGGTGACATGAAGCCCATATTGGCTTGCTTGTCAGTGCCCGCCATGGCCATCTCCATCGCGTCCATGTCCACGGTAGTGGCGATCGTCAATGTGATATTGATGACCACGGTGATGGCTATGATGACCATGACCACGCCGATCATCTTCATGGTGATGATCATGACCCTCATCATGATCAGGATGATGTGCCCCCTCCCCCTCCGCCGCATCCCGTCCTAAACTCGTAGCGAAGACGCGCTGCTGGGGCGGAGTCATGGGCTCTCATGTCCCAAGCAGCGTTTGCACTCAGGAGCCCTTATTCGGCTCTTTCTGAGGAACTCGATGGATATGTTGGTTTTCCCCACGTTGCGGCGGCCCGTGCCGCCTTGTGGGCGCCTCGTCAGCGCCCCGCGCTTGGGGCGTGGATTGAGTTTGCGCCACGCTGCCTCCCGTAGCGCGTCGTGGGCGCCCCGCGCTTGGCGTATCTGTGTGTGAGTGTGTGTGTGTGTGAGTGTGTGCGTGTGTGTGTGTGTGTGTGTGTGTGCGTGCGTGTGTGTGTGTGTGAGTGTGCGTGTGAGCGTGCGAGTGTGCGAGTGTGCGTGTGTGCGTGTGTGCTTGTGTGTGTGCGTGTGTGCGTGTGTGCGTGTGTGTGTGTGTGTGTGCGTGTGTGCGTGTGTGCGTGTGTGCGTGTGCGTGCGTGTGTGTGTGTGTGCGTGTGTGTGTGTGTGCGTGCGTGTGTGTGTGTGAGTGTGCGTGTGAGCGTGCGAGTGTGCGTGTGTGCGTGTGTGCGTGTGTGCTTGTGTGC